GGCTCTATTCTGTTTGACGTTTTTCAAATTGAATTTGAATGTAGATTTTATAGGGTTTTTTATAAACTTAAGACCAACAGGTCAAAAATACAAATATGTGTATCTACATGTATAAATTTAACAACTGACCTATCACCTAATGAGGAAGGCATAATAAATTATCATTCTTGGACCACATCCCTGACCCCAAACATCAATATTTCACAGCTGGTCGATCCGTAACTAATTTTTATTTTTAATGTGCCTTACATGCAATTTTGTTTGATAATTGAGATCTAAAACGAAAGGTTATCTTTTTTAGTTCTTCTATCTTTTTTATATTTTTCAGGTTTGCTGACGTTTCATAAATTTTACCTACAGGAACTATAGATAAATAGAGATTCCTTGAATAAAAAGAGAATCAAACATACTGCAATGTAAAAAATTGTAATATTCATGACTTGATTTTTAAAAACATTTCTACTGTTTTCTCTATAGAGTCATGGTATTTGACTTGCACGCTCGTTTCTTAAAAATATACAGTTTGTTGTTGCATTGTTTTTTTTAGGCTTAAATTTTCTCCCTCCAGCCTTGTTTAAACAAATCTGTAATTTTCTCGTCCATTTTCATTGAGAGGCGGTTAATTATAGTGAGATTCTTACATAAACAAATCTTTTAATTTCACAAGTCACGCACTTCGACATGTTGCTTATCTGCACCTAGGGGAATCCGAAGGAAACGAAAAATATTTAATATTGACATTCGCAAAAGCAAATTTCTTTATCTCAGCCGACATTATTTCGAACGCATTCCTTTTTCTTGAATTTCACCGAAGAAAGAATCTCGCGTTTTAACTTCGGCTAAAGAGAAGTAGAAGTAACATAAACAAACTAATTAAAATTAAAATAAGAAGAAAAGAAATATTTCATTTGAAAAAATTGATTATGCTATAATATGCGTTTAGAACTAATTGAAACAATAAAAAAAATCATTCGTCGGAAGTAGTCTGCTTAAAAAGCCAAACAGCAGTGCATTTTGTTTGTGTTCATTTAAGGTGAGAAATGCCAAAAAAAATTATTTTCCTGGCTCATGAGTCAATGCCAAAACAGACAATACAAAAGCAATTAGATTAAATTATTAAAGGAATATCAATTAATAAAAATAATCTTAAAAGTATCCATAACAAAGCCAGAATATTTAAAAAAAATTACTTAAAAAAGTTATTTTCCTGGCTCATGAGTCAATGCCAAAAGAGACAAAACAAAAGCAATTAGATTAAATTATTGAAGAAATATCAATTAATAAAAATAAATTTAAAAGTATCCAGAACAAAGGCAGAATATTTTAAAAAAAATTACTTAAAAAAATTATTTTCCTGGCTCATGAGTCAAAGGCAAAACAGACAATACAAAAACAATTAGATTAAATTATTAAAGGAATGTCAATTAATAAAAAAATCGTAAAGTATCCATAACAAAGGCAGAATATTTAAAAAAAAATTACTTAAAAAAGTTATTTTCCTGGCTCATGAGTCAATGCCAAAAGAGACAAAACAAAAGCAATTAGATTAAATTATTGAAGAAATATCAATTAATAAAAATAAATTTTAAAGTATCCAGAACAAAGGCAGAATATTTAAAAAAAATTACTTAAAAAAATTATTTTCCTGGCTCATGAGTCAAAGGCAAAACACACAAACCAACAGCAATTAGATTTAACTATTAAAGAAAAATTAATAAAAATAAACTTAAAAGCATCGAGAATGAAGGCAGAATATTTAAAAAAATATTTTTCTAGGCTCCTAGGTCCCATTGGCAAGAATGTTCGGACAGAGTTGTTTTATTTTTTTATTTCATCCATATTTTTCTCACCCATAACGACATAAAATCTAAACGTTTGATATATCTAATAAAAATGTATTAATAAATTTAAAAGTATCCAGAACAAAGGCAGAATATTTAAAAAAATTACTTTAAAAAATTATTTTGCTGGCTCAGGAGTCAAAGGCAAAACAGACAAAACAACAGCACTTAGATTTAACTATTAAAGAAATATTAATTAATAAAAATAAACTTAAAAGTATCCTGAACAAAGGCAGAATATTAAAAAAAATTAATTATTTAAAAAAAAATTTCTAGGCTCATGAGTCAATGCCAAAACAGAGACAAAACAAATGCAACTAGATTTAATTATTAAAGAAATATTAATAAATAAAAATAAACTAAAAAGTATCGAGAACAAAGGCAGAATAATAAAAAAATATTTTCTAGGCTCCTAGGCCTAGGTCCCATTGGCAAGAATGTTCGAACAGAGGTTTTTTTTCATCCATATTTTTCTCACCCATAACGACATAAAATCGAAACATTTTATATATATAAAAATAAACATAAAAGTATCTAGAACAAAGGGAGAATATTTAAAAAAATTAATTTCTTAAAAACTATTTTCTAGGCTCACGAGTCAATGCCAAAACAGAGACAAAACAAAAGCAACTATATTTAATTATTAAAGTAGTATTAATTGATAAAAACAAGCTTAAAAGTATCTATAAGAATGGCAGAATATTTAAAAAATTAATTACTCAAAAAATTATTTTCTACGTCCCATTGGCAAGAATGTTCGGACAGAGTGTTTTCTATTTTTTTTTTTTTTAATTTCATCCACACTTTTCTCACCTATAAGGACATAAAATCTAAACATTTGATATATCTAAATATAAACTTAAAAGTATCTGAACAAAGGCAGAATATTTACAAAAATTAATTACTCAAAAAATTATTTTCTAGGCACACGAGTCAATGCCAAAACAGAGGCAAAACAAAAGCAACTAGATTTAATTATTAAAGAAATACTAATTGATAAAAATAAACTTTAAAGTGTCCAGAAGAAAGGGAGAATATTAAAAAAATTAATTACTTAAAAAATATATTTTCTATGTTCGGACAGAGTTGTTTTCTATTTTTTTTTTTTTGTATTTCATCCACATTTTTCTCACCCATAAGGACATAAAATCTAAACATTTGATAAATCTATCTATATGTATAATACAGATATCTATATATATATTGATAATCTAAATATAAACTTAAAAGTATCTGAACAAAGACAGAATATTTACAAAAATTAATTACTCAAAAAATTATTTTCTAGGTTCACGAGTCAATGCCAAAACAGAGACAAAACAAAAGCAACTAGATTTAATAATTCTCTTAAGAAGAAGAAGAATACATTTATTATTAAAAATAATTAACAGAGCCGGAGTTGGAATTCTTTTGATTATAGCATAATTTAATTTATTTTGCAGCGGTAATATTAAAGAAATTTTAATTAATATAAAAAATACCTCTAAGGTAAAAAATACTCTAAGGTAAAAGTCGTATTTTTATACCCAGTAATAAAAATTAATCTTAGAAGTGGAAATAATATTTAAAGGAAAAAGTGGTATACTATTAACACCGAGCTACTTCCCATATAGAGCTGTCGAAATTCGGCTAGCAAAGGACATTAAAAAAAAATATTATCCTTAGAGGATCCTTTCTCAATCAGGACAAATAATTGAAGTAATAATTCTCCTTCTCATTTTGAACAACAACCTCAATTGACAAAGATTCATTCCAGACCGCAGTCTACAATTGTCTATTTAACGATTGGTTACCTCTTTTTCTAAAATGGATTTTAAGTTTGATGAGCTTTTTGTAAATTTTCCAAAGCGAAAAAACAAATCACTCGTCAGTCACTGATAACCCTAGTTGTTCTTTTTAAAACGGAAATTATCATATTATAAAACTTTGCAGACATACTCAATCATCAGATAAGATAAGATTAATTATCGAAATAAGCAAAAGCTTAAAAATTATTTATGAGCGCAGACAAATAGATTAATTTTGTTTAAAAGCGTTGTTTAAGCATTTAATTACTATAAACAAATAGCTACTACACAAGATCCTGAATTTTCCTTATTTTTTTTATTATGTTTAATATTTATTTTGTTTGTATTATTTTTTAAACCCTCAAGACTTCGTGCGTTTTAATTTTTTATATTTAATTTAATTTTTTATATTTATATTTATAAAGAATGTGTGGTAATTAGTGACCGTTAGTCGATAATTATTCAGAAATCGTGAGATGCGGTCTGGTGTGATGTAGGTTTCAGAAAAAAATTTTCTTTATCGTGCCAACGTTTCGATCTTTATTGTGATCATCTTCAGGGGTCAAAGTGTTTCAACGTCGTGTTGAGAGTGCACGACACGCAAGAATGGCACAATTACACAGAAGACAAACACTGAAGATGATCTCATTAAAGATCGAAACGTTGGCACGATAAAGAAAATGTTTTTCTGAAACCTACATCACCCCAGACCGCATCTCACGATTTCTGAATATTTATAAAGAATAAATTAAAAAAACACCCTGCATGACTTTGTGACAAAATATGATTAAAAGGTAAGTGTTTATATTTATTACTGTAAACGTAAACCTGAACTGACCTAACTCAACATATAATTTAGAAAAGGAGCGAGGTTTGTTATTAATTAATTATTGTTTAGAGGTTCTTATAGAATAATTGATTGACGTCAATTAATAATAGATAAGCATGAATTGATTCAGTTTAATTTTATTAGTGATTAAAGTTTTAAAAAATTAAAGATTTTTTTAGGAGGTGTTTGTATAGAATTATGTTATGTTTAGTATGGTTTTTAATATAAAATTTATTTTATTGAAGTATTTCATAATAAAAAAATTACTTACATAAACCTCTTTTGAAAAATAAACACATCTCTTGTCTGTTTTGCTTCGGTTTCTTTTTGCTCTTGTCTGGCATGCAGTTGAAAAAGTCCCTGATTTTCATTATAAGTGTGCTCTGTCCTGAGTGCCCGCCTTCAACATTAGGGCATGTAGTGTAGCCGCTGTCCTTCGACATCTTCTCACTACAAATTCCAAATAGACACTGAAATACGATCGAGCGTGTTATCTCCCGTTTCCGTCGGGGTCAGGGCTCTCGAGCCGAAGATAAGCGGCTATCGCGAAGAAAGAAAGGGAGGAATGCCGAAACTCAGATTAGCAATAGACGTTCTGATGATGAGCGGCCGGGCCGTGAGCATTTGTTCCGAGGGCACATGGTCACTGGGGAACGTTGGTACCTTGCGATGCGAAGAAGTAGGAGGAGGACGACGAACCGTTTGGGGATGGGTAAGACCAATTCTCAGCCTTATCCCCACTCGACTATTTAAGCCGCAGTTTATTTTTCATTGTAAATATTCAATACCTCATTTAACATATGCTTCCGTGGTAATTACATGAATATGTAAACCCATTATCATTTCTTTTTTTACGTTTTTGCTTCATCTATTCGATTTATAACTATTTATCTATCTTACACAAAACTATATTTACTGTAATAACAATAATAAATTTATTATAATAGGGCGAATCATAAAAACCGATTTCAATTTCTTGGGGATTGTAAGGTTAAAGCCATTGTTTGGCTTCAAACAAATTAGATTTCATACCACTTTAATCCATAGACTATGCGAAATGAACGTGTAAAAAAAATTGATTTCTTCTTGCCTTCAGATTTGTCTTATAGTTTGGTTAAATATGTCGGTAAAATTAGGAATTTTGATAATATTACACCTTTACTGGAAATGTAAGTTTGTCTGAATGGACAGTGTGCAGATGGTTCTAGAAAATTTGAAACCAGTGACATCAGCTTGGACGAAAATCATCATACCATTACTGAAAATGTAAGTTTGTCTGAATGGGCAGTGTGTAGATGGTTCTGGAAAGTTTGAAGCCGATGACAACAGCTTGGACAAAAATCATCATACCATTATTGAAAATGTAAGTTTGTCTGAATGGACAGTTTGCAGATGGTAAAATTTGAAGCCGGTGACATCAGCTTGGACGAAAATCATCATACCATTGTTGGAAATATAAGTTTGTCTGAACGGACAGTGTGCAGATGGTTCCAGAAAATTTCAAGCCGGTGACATCAGCTTGGAGTGGAAAGAGGGTTCTGGATGATAATCATCATACCATTATTGAAAATGTAAGTTTGTCTGAAAGGACAGTGTGCAGATGGTAAAATTTGAAGCCGGTGACATCAGGTTGGAGTGGAAAGAGGATTCTGGACGAAAATCATCATACCATTATTGGAAATGTAGGTTTTTCTGAATGGACAGTGTGCAGATGGTTTCAGAAAATTTCAAACTGGTGACATCAGCCTGGAGAGGAAAAACGGTTCTGGACGGTAATCATCATACCATTATTGAAATGGTAAGTTTGTCTGAATGGACAGTGTGCAGATGGTTCTAGAAAATTTGAAACCGGTGACATGCGTTGAAAGAGGGTTCTGGACGAAAATCATCATACCATTGTTGGAAATGTAAGTTTGTCTGAATGGATAGTGTGCAGACGGTTTCAGAAAATTTGAAGCCGGTGACATCAGCCTGGAGTGGAAAGAATGTTCTGAACGGTAATCTTCATTCGATGAGGAAGCTCTGCGGGATTCTGTTGAGGCAGACCCAACGAAAAGTACTCGGAAATTGGCAAGAGAGTTTTCCACATAAATCGTGGAATGCATAACGTGGGGAAAGTGAATCGCTCATTAAGATTGGTTCCTTATGAGTTGACCATTGAGCTGGCCCAACCCTGAGTAGAAATTTGTCAACAACTTTTGAAAAACCCAAATGACCTTCGTCAAAAGAATAGTTGCGATGAAAAGTAGATATACTGCAGGACCAAGAAACAAAGGGTAGACTGTAATCAGCCTGCTTCCCCAATCGGTAAACAAGAACAAGACAAAAGAGACAATGCTCTTAACAATGTATTTTGAAATTACGAAGGCATAATTTCATAATAAGTTCATTCTACATGGCCGAACCGTTGATTCAAAACTTCATTATGACTTGAGCTTCTCCCTCACCCTGCGATCATTGGTTTGCAAGGTGGTGGTTTGGAATCAGACCTTGTTACGTACACAATACTGAAAGTAGCGAAATTACACATTTATTTTAAACTGTTTATTTAACAAATCTACCTAATCTTCTATCCACCTATCTAATATGTACTTATGGAACCTATCTATGTACCATGTTACGTATTATTATTATCTATAGTTGAACGATCTGCCCTATCTTTAAAATATGAAGGATCGACCTCTCCTCGTATTCTCTGTGTATCAACCCATCTAACTTTTCTAATATCTCATAAGTTTCTATCTAACTATTTATTATCTAACTATTATTCGATGTATTGTCAGAAGTAAGAATCGGTCTGCGAAACCATATTTCAATTTAATCCCTCCATTCATCTAACTCGCTTTTTATCTATTTGTTTTAATTAATTTATCTGTTTACATGTTTGTCCTTTGCCTGCTTATCTAGTTAATCTCTTATTATATTTTCTATCCATAAAATCTGTTTGTCTGTCCAAGAATTCTACTTTTATCTGTCTGTCTGATTCTCTTTCCCTCACTCTCGCTTTTCTCATTCTTTCCTTATGTCTTTTACTGTTTGTATCACAGTGTATATGTCTATTTTTCTTCTCTCTCTCTCTCTCTCTCTCTCTCTCTCTCTCTCTCTCTCTCTCTTTCTTTCTTTTCGTTCTGACTTTCTCGCTTTATTTGTCTGAATATCTGCCTTTTTGTCTTTCTCTATTGCCTGTCTGTGGCTTGATGTCTATTTCTCTCTCTCTCTCTTTCTTTCTCTACTTAATTTTTCTATCTATCTGTATCTATGTCTCTTTATGTCCTTTATATATTTTTCCATCTGTCTCTGTCTCAATTTTTCACCCTCTCTTTCTACCTGTCTTTCACTTATTCTGTATGTCTTTCTCGCTCTATCTGCCCTTCTGTATCCTTCCCTCCTCTCACTCCCTCTCTGTCCCTGTCTTCTTTATATTTCATTCTGAATATCTTTTCCGCTTTATCTGTCCGTCTTTATCTCTGACTCTTTATGTGTTCCTTTANTCTCTCTCTCTCTCTCTCTCTCTCTCTCTCTCTCTCTCTCTCTCTCTCTCTCTCGTCATCGATTTAATATTCAATTTTAGCACAACATTTGTATTTGCAAGAAAAGATCTTGGCCTGATTCCTTTATAATTCTTGCTTCACAATTATTTTGAATTCACTGATTTCGTGGCCCGCTTGACCAATTAATATATTACAATTAATTAAGGCTTTTAGTTGAGATAAAAAGTCAATGGCACGAGCGGGATTCGAACCCAGGATCTTCGGCTAGATACGCCGCTGCTCTACCACTTGCTCAAGTCGGACACTAACTTCCCATCTCAACCCCACCTTTTGAATTTTCCCTCCCGGTTAGTGTCCGAGTGGATCGACGTCACGATAGCTCAAGTGTTAGAGCAGCGGCGTATCTAGCCGAAGATCGTGGGTTCGAATCCCGCTCGTGCCATTGACTTTTTTATCTCATCTAAAAACCTTAATTAATTGTAATTATTTTGAATGTTTAAACAGTGAGAAAAGCTTAAAAATCCAACTTCTAACTTTTCCTGGAAGTCCCTATAATTAAATTAAACTATTTGAGAGACGATTTGACCAATTTTCAGTCTAAAAACCGGTTCTAAATATAAAAATTATAAATATAAAATTTAAATAAAAATTTCAATTTTTAAGGTCGATATTTGTAATGTTGTTACACACTGTTCGTTTTCTTTATTCTGGGAGAAGTTAAATGTTGAATTTTTAATCTTCCAGGTTCTTTATGTTTTTATTGGAATAAAAATGTTTTGTAGACAAGGTCGAAGAATTTATTAAACCAATCATCGAAAATATGTTATTAATCGTGTATTTTTCACCTTCAGTATTAAGTAGATGATGATGCTAGAGCAAGATTAAAGAAGAAAGAGCCACAGGGAAAAGTTTTATTTTTTACATTTATTTCGATGGATTATGTATGAATTGATACTTTTACCAGATCGCGAAGCTTTTTTATTATTTCCTCATCGTTTCATTGTCCTTGATGGCCGAGGGGGTCCGTAGTGCACAATGACGTTTCCTGCGTCGGCCGGGGAGTGAGTCCGGGACTTGCTGACCTTCTGAACGCATTATAAAAACACAACAACAAAAAGTTGAAGCACGAGACAAACAGGTGTTCCATACAAAAGCAAACGAGACAATTTTATATTTAAAATTGTACAAAAATTACTTTTGAAGCTTAGAGATAAGGGTACAGAACGAAGAGGAAAATTTAAAAAAAACCTTTTGAAAAAAGCCATCCAAAGATATATTTAAAAAAGGAAATCGTTTAACGATATGAGCATAAAGTATTTCATGGATTGTTAAAAATTTGTATTTTTGTCTTCCAAGGCTTTCCTTTTGACGCAAATAATAATAAAACGTGCGAGGAAAATGCCACTTCCGATCTGATTTTTTATGTGAAAAAGTCTAAATATTTAAAGAATAATTCTAAACGATTAAACCTTCGAAAATCGTTCATCTTCTGGCCCCTCAAAGAATCCTGACCCTTCATAGTCAGTAAAGCCCGGAATGATTGGGTGTGTTGGGAAAATTTTTCGGATCAATTCTTTTATTCGAAAAATAATTGCTATGGGAACTTTACGCTTGTTATATGAGAAACATTTGGTTAGTCGAACAAAAAAACGACAGCTACAAACCTACTGGCTGTTACTAAAGTCCTTGGACTTGAAAACGTCAAATCCCTCTTGGATTTTTAACCATATTACATATCATGACTTACAAAGATTACTGCTTCGTTTTAAGATTTATTTTTCGGCAAAAATATACTACGTTGTCTTGTGAAAACTTAGAAATCCGGGATAACTAAGACGAACAAAATGCCTGGTACAAATCACTTCCAGAAGACATGTGTCGATTTAGAAAAAAAGCTCCATCTTCCAAGCAACTTTAGTAGTATTAGTCCAGTTCATGATTCTTTTGGATCCTTGTTTTTTCTTCCGATTGGGGAACCTCCATTCTTTTTCCTTAAGTTTTGTTTGTTTAACAAACCGAAATAAGAGCCAATTGGAGGTAGGAGACTCCCAGGTTGAGAAGGAAAAGGAGGAAGATGAGGTCGAGGTCTAGGTCTTTAAAGTTGGAATGATCAAGACAGGTTTAATGAGTTTGTTTTGACACACATAAATAAAAACTGATAGATAGTGAAATAGGAAGGAAAATGATAAAAAAGCAGATGCAGAAGCAATTAACCTCATCC